AGCTTGTTGGGTTGTTACACCAGCAATTATGAAGCGATTATAACTGATTCTATTGGCTGAAATTGTTTTCGTTTTCATTTTCGTTTTCATTTTCGTTTTCTTTTTTTTTTTTTGAACGATGATCATACTATTTTGAAAAGTGCTATAACTTATAACAATAATTTATAAAAATTTATTGTTATTTTTTTTTCCGAAAAGCATAATCAATTAGCTTCTGAGCCATACAAAAATTATTGCACTTCACATAGTACACGTGGGCGGGAGAGATTTTTGAAAAGAAAAACATTTTTATGTTTTACTAGTAAAATTTCGTGGTGACCACTCATTTCTGGCAGGGTACTGTACATCTCTCGCATTATCGATTACTACATTATACGTTTTTTTCTATCTGTGAAACATAACTGATTTTCGTTGTCGCTTGATATGAGTTTCCTGCACCATCAATTTTTTCGCTAACATATAATCCATTACATACAAATTTTATAATTCAACGTTTTTTCAATACGGATTGATTACAAATCCGCTACAGACGCAGACTTGTCAACTTTTGCTCCAATCCTTGCGTTAGCGATTCTGGTATGCATCTCGCTCAAATATTTGACATTGTAATTTGGCAAAAGCCTGTTTCCAACGATGCAATCTTCATTATTGTACATAAAACTATGCTCGCACAAACCTGCCATTCCTTGTTTGTGACATCTTTCAATGGAAGAGAATCTCAAGTGGATTATCTCATCGATAGCAGGCGTGTACAATGCTCCTGGATTTTCCGCGGGACGAGTTTTCGGTATTCCGACCTTGATAATTCTGATCCACATCGACGGGTCAAGCTGTCCAACCTCGGTTAAGCGACGACATGCAATTCAGTTTTGACAAATTCATCTCCTTTGTCTTTTTCAGATTCGATAATATATTGTAAACACTCGCGCCACATTTTAACAAATTTGAGATACAATATCTCGCATGAGCATGAACGTACACGTGACATGATTAAAGGTCAAGAAAGAGTTGAATATTATGTCGAATATAATAGTATGGAAAATTCCTAGAAGAGATTACTGATTCTAATGATCGCGAGGAACAGTCAAAGAATTGCAATGTGAGGCTTGAGGAAAGAAATACAATTACATGAGGCAGTAAAATACCTTAAATATCCAAATTGCACTCTATTTATTAAGACTCAACACAACGGAAGCGGTTCGATAAACAAATCCGGAGGAACCTTGATAAAGTAGCATTATTTCAATCATGCTTGACAGATAATGCATTTGACAGGTTATAGCGGCTTGGATAATGCAAACATATTAATGCACAGATAATGCTCTCGCACCGAAATTATCGTCGGAAGCACGTAATGTTCACATAGATGAAAATTGGTTTCTCCAGTAGATGCTGGTACCAAATGCGGCTACAATAACAAGATGCCTGTAGTAATAGTCTTAACATCAAAGCCAGGTAATTTATTACTTTGAAACGAATGATACTTGGTAATTTGAAAAAAAAAATTGTGAATTCGCGAGTTCAACAGTAACAACTTCTTACTTAGTCTGTGCAAGTATTTCCAGAAGCATTAATGTCGGCTCACTAAAATATTATATATGCAAGTCGATGCAGTTATTTCTGTAAAGAATACTACGTTCTTTAAAGCTTTGACTTGATCAACGGCCTTTTTCCGGCACGAATTGGAATAAAAGCGTTTTCACAACCTTCCGATGGATGTGGTATATTTCAAGAGGAATAACCTTGGTGATAATGTAAAAACAACGTATGGTACTGTATATGACACGTCAATGCCAAAATATTCGAACGCAGAAGGGTGACGGACATTGTTTAGAAGACTGACGGTATTCGATCGATCATCACAACAAGTATGAAAGGAGAAAGTTTCCTTATTATTATTTGGTTTCAAACATGTATTTGTTATTCGGGGCAGCATGCCAAGCTAATTGTTTAATTAACTGTTTTTACACCAATTCTTCATTAGAATTCAAATTCTAAACCTTCTTTTATTCTCATCCATCATCGGCTAAACAGCCAGGCATATTGCCCAATCACATAACTATGAGACATTTTCGATATAGCGACTTGATATTTTTTTTGGGGGGAAACCATCCATCTATTAACTTTATTTCACTCGCTTCTCCCCACCAAAAGTCTACTAACATTAAAGTTCCGCCTATTTCGAACGCCCACTTCCTTTTCTGGCTAGCAATTTAAAGTGTGGTGGGTAGGTTCACAAGACCGAACGTTAGACAACGAGGATCTACGCGATACGATTTGTGCTCGCAAGTAAAACGGCATCTCCTTTTAATTAATTGTATCTTCTACATCGGATGGTTTCACTCGGCAAATAACTGATCTACATATATTACATGCACGTTTTCATTGTCGTGTCTTTTCTGCCATCGGGTAGATTTTCTATTCGTTATACACACGCAATTGATCTACATTATTTACATGACAAAGAACGGTAAACAATAGGGGGTTAGGGTTAGGGCATATGTGTTTATGATAGATAACATGTTCACACAACGTATATCATAATTCTACTAGACATGGCTCTTGCTCTTATTTGTTGTATCCTGCATAAGGTACGACAATGCTCATGTCAGGCACAATTAGCTTGTCTCTTCCTTTCCTTTCCTTTTTTTCTGTTCTGTTCTGTTCTGTTCTGTTCTGTTCTGTTCTGTTCTGTTCGATGTCTATTTTTATCTCCTTGTGTATGAAATCTCATACATGTACATACATATTCAAAGGTACGCTTTCCTTTTCTCCTCTCCCCCCTTGTCCTTCTCTCATCTGCATTCTGTCAATCATCATTTTTGAACCACATGCTTGTTTAGCATATAGCGGTGTAACGAGCGATCATTTGGTGACAAAGAAGCAGAATATCACCGTTGATGGATGTTTTTACATTATGAATCCGATTTGGGGAGTAGAAATTTGGGTGTCTGTGATATGTGATTAATGAGAAGAGGGTCCGAATAGAAGTAAAAGGCCATGAGTCATTGCATTGTCTTTGTGACAATAAGCGCAGTACATTTAAATATACAAAAACAAATGGCAAGTGCTGATTGCAGCTACCGCAATATAAGCATTGATAATCAGTTACTATTGCCACTATATGTGTGTTTATACACGTATTTTCTGACCTTACTACACCTATTTTTTTTTTCGAAAACATTTTCACCCTCCCGAACATACAGTATATTCTCAGCACATTCTCTGAATTGGCATTGAATTAGCTGTATATAGCATGCCGGGAACAAATAACATTTGTTACAAACTCTCATTATGACTCCTCTTTGAAACAGTTACCCTTGCGTCTATAGAAATCTGCAAAGAATTTTTGTGCCCCATCATCCCTTAAAGTTCGAACACAATAAACAAACAGTCCCAAATTATTCAAATTGACTTTTGTGTGATTTGCACACTATCAATTCGGCGATTGTTAATAGTGGATTTTGTCAACCATACGTTGTTTCTAATGAGAACAATGTGGGAGAAAACGCGTCCTAACGTTTGTATATTCTGTTTTCCTATTTTATTAAAACAATCAAGTAAACAAAAGCTTCATAGAGTGATTTGAGAATCAGCTGATAAGCCCTTTGTAAATCAGTTGCCGTATTTGTTACAAAACCAATCAGTTACTATTACACAGGTACAGATTCATTAGCGGAAATGTAATGGTCATACTTAATTAATCTTTAATCGGCTAAACTATTATGATCTTTACGTTGGACATATACATAAACTCTCCGATTTATTATGTAGTGGCTAACATTGTATACCGAACCTACAAGATACGTACGTATACGTGCACTCGTTACATTGTTTGTCTGCAAAAGCATTATCCAAAGGAAAGCATTGTGTCAACAGTTACATCATTTAAAGCAATGACAAAGGTTTGGCGTTTTTCATATTCATTCATTGATACTTGAAATTTGAAATTGACAATTGTCATGTCCCGAATTGGGTAGCCTAGTTATAACAGTCGTCAACTTATTTAATATTCCCATCGTCATTGTCTTGTCATATTACAACAATTATGTAATTTGACAATGAGAACAATATGGTTCTGTGACTGTTACTACAAGTCTTGCTATACCCTTGATTATCTCGGCAATTCCCTACCATCCTTGATTATAAACCTTGTTTTCACACACTCCCGATAGACGCGAAGGTACATGCATATTACAAGCGACATTTCCTCAGCCATACGTAATAATACCTGTATAATCGGTCACATTGTGTACTCGATGCTTGGCCATATTGGTCATTTGTAATCTTAACTATAAATTTACCGTCTTGGTATGCAAATGAAAGGATGTCTACTGAAACAGTATTACAACGATCAATGTGATCACCCAACTGATGTCATGAGATCCAATGGGCGTTAAACAAAGCACACGCAGCGGCTGTAGGCTGTAAAAGGCAGTCACAATTGGACAGTGAAAAGTTTATAGAGTTACACTCGATAATTTAAATTTCACCCAATAAAATTTCTGATACGTGAATATACATCACATGGTTTTAGATATATTTTTTACCACGTTGATAACCAATTAACAATGCAAATAAACAGACCCTGTCGATCAACCGACTTTCTTTCGTGTCGTTAGTAAAAAGAACAAAAGTCAACACATTCTACCCTGATTACTAAGCGAGTCATCAATAAACGATCCACGCAAGAAGCGTCATAGATTATGCGTACACATGGGTCAACGGTATAAACGGAGAAATTTGAAAAAGGAGAATTTGTAAATGGCTCTTCGGATTTTATGAAACCTTGGGTTCCCATGTCTCGGATATTTGATACAAGGAACCCATGTTGACTAGCAGGGATTGGGGGGGGCAGAGATATGAAGTAAAAAAGGGATAATTAAAAGTAGAACCGGAATAAATGTATTACTTGCGCCCATAGCAATATATATTAACTGCAGTCTTGAAGAATGCTTACTGTAAACGTCTTACTTGTGCATTATATATATTAAACTACTTTAATTGGCTACTATTAATATAAATTTATAGTTAGCACTATTATTACCATGTTCTAAATTAACTCGGTCACAACATCTCTCTTGGGATCCTGCCTCTCCTAATTCATGGGAAACATGTTGCAACAGGGGTGGAGGAGGTGAGGCAAAGCTGTGCATTAGAGTTTAAGTTGCGATTTTTTTATATTTTTTTCCCCTTCTCAATTCTTCTTTTCCCCGCACTGTCGATATTGCGGGGAAAGCAGAGTAAATAATGACACCATCGAATTTCGGTAGACGAATTACATTGGTTCTCCAACATTGACTGGCTGCATTGTGTTATTATTTGTGCTTGCATCTGATACAATGATAACAATATACATCTCGGATCTTTTCTTCGTCGGTTGCTTCTTTGATTGTTTAATATCGGAGTCGTAACCGGATTTCCCCATATTTTTCCCTTGTTGCCACTTTTCCCATTACGGGTTGAGGTTATACCACAAAGTAATTACATTGGCACATTGGATTGGTGAATGTTGTGTGAGAACATAACAGATAATTGTTGTGGCATAGCAATAGTAATAGGGTTAATTAAACGAAACATCCATATCAGACATTTTCTCCACACATTGTACCATCGTTTTATTTCTGGGTTGTCCAGCAACAATAAGACACCTGTAAATAAGCCTTACAGATGGATTATCTAATCCATGCAAGACAACAAGCATATTTATTTGTTCAACACTGGGAAACATCTCTCTCTCACTCTCCTGCAGTGGAAATCATACGAGAGTACATCTTGAAAATAATAACATTTAAGTAAAAATCTGCATTATCGAGTCCCTATTTTACTAATTTTTTTTCTTCAACATGACACAAGGACGTAATAATGCATAAGGTTTGCCATTGCGCTAGACCGGAAATATGCACTTTAATAGCAGTCTGTGAACGTTCTACGGGGAGCAGGAATATACACATTGATATAATCTACCCACAAGAACGATAGATGATGAAATGCTGGGTCATTAATTCAAGGTCTACATTTGCTCATCATACATCTTATCGTACATATCCCATCATCATCATCATCATCATCATCTCCATCTTGTATTCTGCTTGTCATGCTCCCTCTTTATTATACATCCGGTGATTACAATTTATAGCCCTATTACTATATATGCACAAGCCCGTCGAGGAGAAGGGGAGGGGAGGAGAGGGGAGGGAGTATGAAAAATGAGGGGTGCGATGAAAGTGATATAAACGAGTTTTCTAGGTAAACGAAACTATGTGAAGAAGGGGGGTTATAGGAATGTCATTTGGGATTCATCAACAAATGTAGATCATTGGTATACATATAATCGGAGTTTGATAACGAGTGTATAACTGTGTATAATCATTTCATTATCCCTTAGTATTGTCTTTTTTTGTGTAAAATTGATTGGAAATCAGTTATGTGATGTTCGTGTATCAAGTTTTGGGGGGTATTGCAGTAATATAGCACATAACACGTTGGCGTATTGGTATGGTATTACTGATTCTTTTAATAGATATTTTAAAAAAAAAGGAAGAAGAAAAAAAGAAAGTAATGCAGCAAGCAGCAGATTCAAGTTTTATGATATTTGCTGATAATCGACGTGAAACGACCGAGTGTTTATAGCGTAAATGTAGCAAGTGTTTGATATTAACGGCAAGGAGAACTCAACATATCTTACAATTCAATCCAAACCCCGCTCCCTTTCCAGTAAATACAGTGTTACTTCTATCAACAAAAAACCCTACGTTATCATCAACATCAATGCGTAAAAAAAAAAGAAAAAAAAAAAGAGAAAAAAAAAAGGGAAAGGAAAAAAATTTTTTTTCAATATGATCATCCACATATTATGCAACCATAATAGTCTTTTTTCCAACCAATCATGATCAGTTTGATGCAGAACCAAGCCACTACAACCATAGTGCAACAAAATTATGTATTATCCAGCATGCATAAATACACGTGTCCTCAATGCTACTATTGTTCGTAAAATAGAGCGAATGCCTAAATGTGCATTAATGATATTAATTCAAACAAGGGCCAAACTATGCAAAATAAAGTGTCGCGTGTACCAATATTATGTAATTTGTGCTAATGCTAGTTAGATTCAGAGGGATGCTACAGCGTAGTAACATAAACGGTAATGTAACTAAACACAGCCTATCACTATTGATACTTTATCGTATCTGATATTACTTCATTCATCAATCAACATTTTTCCCCTTTGTACTTGGTACGTTGACGCATACGGATGATCCCGGTTTGCATACGCTCCAATCTGCTAATCCGTGATCTTGCTTATGTAAGTGTTTTGTCGATAACTGGAGGAGAGAGATCGTAGTTAATATAACCCAGCATATGATCCTTGATTGAATGTCAGTCATGGGACCAGAATATGAACCAAAAGCGGGTTGAAGCGTACGAGTAAATCGCTTTGAAACAAAATCCTATGAATGAGGTTTAGTAGGATGCGTGATCAACTTGAGATATACTAGCAGATAACACGTGTACCTTTCAAATATGACATGTTTTATATGCACTTAATGCATGACTTTCCATTTCATTTCACATATCCGTCTCGTAAATTTGCTCGGTTTCTCCCACGCTGTCAATAAGCGGGGTATATTATTTATTACTCGTACCCCAGTTTACTTGACAATGGTAACTATGCAATATCTTTGGTATAAAGAACATGTCATCACGCATATACACACATATATACACACATATACACACCCACATATACACACACATATACACACACACGCATACACATACGCATACATACGTACATACACGCAATACAGCATGGTATCTTTGTAATTCATCGGATCAGACTTAATTGACAAGAGTGACGTGAAATTGCATATGAGACACTAATGACGAGAGACAACGTTGCCATGCAGGAGTATATTCTATTTGATTCATAAAAACCATTCATTGGCATTCATCCAACAATCGTCGACATGCCTTGTCCATCAATTCATTGTATAGATGCCAGCAGCGTCAAAATGAAACCCGCATGGGCAACGTCAATATATGCCCCCAATTGTTGGTCAAGCAAGTGTATAGGAACACATGTGAAAGTCACAGAACACTATACTGATGCCATAAAGTAGCAATCATGTGAATTTCTAGTCAAAAAATGTTGGATAAACAAGACGTACAATAAAGAAAACATGTCATATTTAGTTGTGTTAATTTGCTTGATTGGAATGAGGAGCATGCCAAAAAGTTCGAAATCGATAATCCCTTCTATTTTCTGCATAATAAAAAGAAGTTTTTGTGTGTATTGCCAAGTGATACGTATTTGTTTGTCAAAATGTTCTTGCCTCAAACAGATTTTATAATATTGATATTTTATACAATGGACATGTGTAGCCTTGAAAAAAAAAAAATTTTTTTTTGCAAAGGTTGTAACCATATTTGCATAGGCTCTACATTATTGACCGTTACTTGATCAGCCGTCGGAAATGAACCCTTGCAAATTATAATCGAACGTGACACATACGAGCCATAAAGAGACCTTGTAATTTGTAAAGCGTTTGATATACGTTTTATTGTAAATATTGGTATCGGTACTAGCGACAAATCGAGTATACGGTTACGAATTGATAATGATATTCGAGTTTGTCATTGTAAGTAAGTAAGTAAGTAAGTAAGTAAGAAACCCCAACCTGCATATAAATGAACAAACTAAATATGTAACATGATGTGTCAACGTCAAATGTCATTGTCAATGTCATTACTCCATCTCATGTGGCAATTAAAGTACGATCATGGAGTAATACCGTTGCTCATTCGATATAATCGGCATTCTCATTCAATCAAGCTATAAATCAGTTGTAAATGAGAATTATTTTATACTAGTACATTACTTGTATTGTATTTAGTTTATATCATTATTAGTATTAGTACCATTGATTCATTCACTCTTTCCAGCCATCCAATCTTGTTCGCATTCGGATAGTTTCCCTTATTCGATCGTAACAAAACGTGTCGTCGGCATTTGACATCAGTCATGCAGTTTGACAGCTTTTTGTAACGCTGACAATGACTGGACTGCTCTATTTACGTAGAGTGTATATTCTCTTCTTTATGGCAGTGAAACTGTGCGCAAACAAATACGCATGCACCAACATGGTTGATAAGGTGAGACGTAGAGAACGAAAAACTGGGTGTCCTTTCAGATGGTAAGGATCACAAATTAAAGCGCATATGCTATTTATTGTTGATTATGCCCACGTTTTCTTTAACGACACAACATGCATAATATTACATGCATATTTCTAGGAAAAAGCAAAGCCTCACCCCTCTTCCATTGTGTTAGAGATCGTACGATTATTAGTCCGTGTTGGCAGAGCTATTATTATCATTATATTGGTACTACTTTCAATGTCTTTCAGTTTTATACTATATTGCATTGGTGTTCGTTTCCCCCCTTTTTTTTCTATGCACTACATAAATTCTGTACTACGCACATAAATTTTTAATAACGACTTTCCTTTTTCTTTTTGTATCCCTCCCTGCTTTCTTTCTTTGGTAAAATGAACAAATTGCCTGATCGTCTCGAGAAGATTCACATTAACAAACGTGTCCAATACATTGTCTATTATAAACATTCCATTGTCTTTACGCCTGGCGCTAATCCACACCATTAATCAGCAAGTGGTTTTGCCGCCAAATTATTCGTTGTAGGGTGATGAGTCGAACCACCCCCCCCCAATTTTCATACCTGCAGGACGATAATACGTAATAGGGATAAAGAACCCCACTTTTCAGAACAAGGACTTGTCCTTTTGTTTTCATGTTTAGCCAAGCCAAGCCAAGTAACCCTCCCCCCCGTTGTTATGTTTATTGTGACAGAGGTCAAACAAATAATTGCTGATCTTGGTGAGTACTCGAAGATGTGATAATTTTTGGTGACTTTAGGATATCTCTTGAAAAATTTAGATTATTGATCCCCCGTCGTTTTCTTTCGCCCCCAAAGTTATCGGTTTTCAGTTCTCAGCAACACATGAATATCATGTAAAGTATGCATATGTGCAAGAAATAAACGCATATACGGTAAAATATTAAATCTTGACCAAGGACAGTCGGTTATTAGTTGTATACTACATAAATATACACAAGCCGTATATAATTAGTATTAGTATAAAATAGCAATAATAATAACCGATATACAATATGTATAATACATTACAATATATATATTACAGCCTTATTATTTATTAGCGTATATTCATAGTACAGTCGGTTTTATACCGTGTAAATATGCAACACTGACACAAACCTGATATAAACAAGATTTTAGGAATACAAGATAGAGGTTAATAACTTAATGATTGTGAAATTGACCAACGGCAGAGCGCGTAGTTATGAAAATTTGGGAACTATGATGTCATCTGTTGCTTTCTAAGTTTAGTTGACAGCGCTAATCAAGATTATATAATATTGTTTATATTGACCCTTTTTGACCCAATCGGCGATCTCTTGTTGAATAGAGTGATAAAAATGTGTTTTATAGCATACACATACATTCTACACATGGTTTTGGATATTCTATTTATTATGTTGTAATTAATATTACTACCCCCCCCCCCCCAACTTGCAAGCTGGACCCCTCATTACGTTTTATTTGCTGCGCAGCCAACTGACGAGCAAGGACCCTTTTGTCCGTATATACCGCAGCATATCTCTAAAGTCAAGAGCTCGGGAATAAAACAATTAGGTAAACATGCTGTTATAAAACTGGGGTGGAAAATAGAGGGTGCTTGGAGGAGGGATGTATGCCAGAACACACGGAGAATGAAAGAGGGTCATCTGTTATTACTGTATTATGTGACATGAAAGAATATCATCGAGTTTTCTAGATTATTGGGAATTTGTAACAATTAAATTAGTACTGTTTTTGTAAACAATGTCAATTTTTATTGATTCAAAGGAGAGGTCACATTCTAATATGGTCATTCGTAACCCTATATATATTTCTCAATATGTGTGGTTCGTTTTATTGTTTGTTATTATAATCTTTATTCGTATGCATTTGTATGTACGGGGTTATGTGTGTCTCGCAGTCAAGCTGTATGAACAGCCTCACCCCCTTCTCCTCCCCTCAAATGTGGGCGTTAAATTTCATTCTATTTTGTCATCGTTTATCGATCACCCTCACGATAATGCCTTTCGGGATATAACGATAATAATGATAATGTTGTTGGTTTTTTTTGGTGTTTTTTTGGTTTTTTTGGTCTATAAACGTGTATGTATGGGCGATATACGACTCGCGTGATAATCGATAAAGGGGTCGAGGGAAAAGTGCGTAGAAAGGATGGCGGAGAGAATGTAAAGGAGTGAATGTTTATTGGGGAGAATGAAGCCATTGTCAATAACTAATAATTATGCATGAAAGCCATCCGTTGCTGTGTTATGTGCCATTTTAATCGATTGTACCATGATTTGTATATTGCTCGACTTGTCATCCCCACGCATTTTCGCATATTTTTTCTCCAATGGATGATGGAGATTGGTTGTCATTGGTGTTAATATGGGGAGAGATCGACCGTTGGCATGTAAAATGATGTCATGTTTGCTGTGATGTTTTTTGGGTGATATTGTATGCGGTCTTATTACTTCGGAGATTAGAATAAATAATATTATAAATGCTATTGTAAACAATATATTGCAGCGTTCAAGCTCCGCAACATCGGTATTAGTTACTAATTAGACGCAATATACTGTACGTATGGTTCCGATTAAGTAACGTCAAACAATATACTCCATTCAACTTGTATATATGTGTGTGACCCATATTATCATCATCGCTTTTTACTTGACGCCCTTCTCTGATCATTGAGGATGCAGTAATATAGCAGTAACAGTCTAGTTTATCACATGGTCGTTACTCCGCATTGCCGATTAATCCGCCACCTAGAATTTCAAGTCACTGATATCACGTAAACCCTCTCTAGGTGACATTATCGCATTCCATATCAACAACTTGTACGTCATGTCCGATGCTATGCTCGTTGAGTTTAAAGCCAGTATGCAAATGCATGCAGACCAAGCGCTAAAGGCTTTGCTCTGTGTGTGTGTCTGTCTAGTCTGTCTGTCTAATCTGTCTGTCTAATCTGTCTGTCTATATCTCTCGTTCACTCACTCACCCATGCATCCATTCATACGCCCACATCCACCCACATCCACCCACATCCACTCACACATCCACTCACACATCCACCCACACTTACTTTCTTATGCCAAAAGTCACAATCACCACGGGTCAGTAACAAAGTGCTGGTTTCATTTTTTGGGCATGCTTTTCTAAACGATTGACTATCAAAGTCTGAACGATAATGCACATGTTATGACCCTATTACGACGCTGGCCATCACCCTGATTATATGCATAGGGTTCGAAGAATTGCATTGGCATACATCTGTTCAACATAATACCGGTCAGATTTACGGTAAAGTGAAACGATAAGAGGCGCATGCGAGCGGACCCCAAACTTGAAGCCCTAACATTCGGTTGCCAGTGTGATTAATAAACAAATACAAGGTGTCACAGACCGAAACGGGGAGTAAAAATCGACTTAATTAAATATTCGATCCTCTACGCCCTTCCAATTAACCTTTTATTCTGAAAGACTTTTTGTTGGTAATACAAGTTTGGAATGGTCGAGAGCGTCGGCATACATTTTGCGATTAAAGAGAGAAAAAGCCAATCCCAATAATACCCATGTGGTGAATTCGATTGACACGGAAAGATATCAAAACGTAATGGTCAAATAAGAATACAGTACTTTTTGCACGTAAACAAATCCGAGTTTTTCATTGTTGCATACGCTCGTGCTGGTTCGTACGATAATTTATTCGCAGAGTTTCTCTTTACCACTTTTTTTTTTTTTCGTTTCCTTTCGACATACCTTTGCAACAGCCAATTAACAAAGTAAACACTTTTATTAAATTGTGTGACATTATAATTTGGGCTCTTAAACTGACTGTGTGAAATGCTTTTAACAAATTTGTCACGATGTCAATATTTGCAGCGCACAAGATGGGTCTCGAACTTTGCATATAGACTCACCAACATGCAAGCTTATCAATATCGCGCGTTTCATATGTAGCCAATTTTACGCCACTTGCCCATAATTGAACGCCACTTGCCCATAATCGAACGCCACTTGCCCATAATCGACCTGTAAAGGCATGAAATAACCTTGTTTATCGTAAATTCGGTGTTTGGCCTTAACGACCCCCCGCCCCCAGCCTCTACACGGTTGGGCTTAACACCAGTGTTTTGGGGTGTGCGATTCTTGAATGACGCAATTGCCCTAATTGGGTTGTAATATTTATGCGCTAGCGTGTAATGTGTTCCATAGAAACGTCCATTAGAATTAGTGACTATATATCTCTTGCTTACCGTTTCAACGAGTCTATTTTTTGGGGGGCCAACCTTTTGTAGATTACCAGTGGTTAAAGTAAAGGAAAAGTTTTGTTTATTAGGTAGCACATGAGATGTAGTTAACCGTTCAAACATCTTTATATCTTTTATGTTTTCGTAGAATCTTCATTGAAATTTAGCTTCTATTCCATCCGTCGCCTATAAATTGGAATTAAATAGCCAAATGCGTTATAATAGCATACATTGAATAAATGTGACATAATGGTATTCTAAAATGCATCAAAGTATGCGTAAAAGTATAAAATCGATCGGGAATTGCGTTGATTACAAGTTATGTCTTGTTAGTACGAAAGTAGTATAGACGTTCGATTATTTTCCTGCCTCGTTCCATATTAGTATTTTGTCACCCAATTAGATTATTCTGGTATCCAGTGTTTCTGTTACATTACAATAACACAAGCACCAATATTCGGGCCAAAATTAGGCCGCTTAATCCTTTACCAACTTGGGCCATCGGATTGAATTTATTGGTGCTCAAAAAACGTCTGTTGATATGTAGATAATCAATAAGATGAAGGGAATGATACAACGAAAACAAAACGTACAACAAACCATGCGTAATAGCTTCATTGTGCGAAGACCGAACCATCCATGAGAGGGCTTTGTGAATAGCAAACAACGATATTAAAACTGTAAAGTTTCAGACAATTATGTCATCACTTTGCCATATGCCGTTTTTTTTTAGGGTTGTCTTTAGCTAATGGTTCAATTTACGTCGGTTGTGGCTTGAATCCGGTATCTTGTCATTTTCGAGTAAGGCTAAATGATACCCCGCTCATTGACCAAGAAGGGGGGGGGGGGGGTACCGTAATTAGGAAAACATAAGGGTTAATAACTGATTTTTTTTCTAATAGGTACCTCTTTGCGTTTGTTAGTTAGTTTCAGGTTGGGCTAGGTTAATGTGATGTTGTGTCTCTTACCCCCCCCTCTCATCAACCTACACACCCTACATGCCAAGGGGGGACACCATAACGCCCATCACACATATCACATAGGTGATGGTAGACGAATATATACACATACATTAATATATAAGATGAGCATTTTATTTTCGTTTATTATGGTAATAATAGGAATAAGTATCCACCTCTATAGATGGTCTTTTCTATACCCCAATCACACACAACAGCACAGCGGTTCTCTTACATGTCAGCTGAGGTTACTTGTAGAAAGGGTGTAGTATGCTCGGTGGCCTAAATACTTTGGGGGAGCAATAATATATATTGTTTATTTTATAAATGAATTCAATTGAAATAGTACATAAATAATATATATGCATACTATACATAATAATACATTAAGACGATGTATAATATAAACAATACATATATATACACACATTTAATTTTAAAGTAGCAGTATATTATGTTTGATATACAATGTATTATGCAAAACATATAAAAGCAGGAGTTCTATCAACTTGTCCAAATATCTCTCTACAAGCCTCACCCACTTCGAAAAGCCAAAAAAAAAATCACTGGGATATACTCTCCTTGGTCTCCAAGCCCGACTTTAACAACACCAAACTATCCACTCATCCTTTTCCTCATTCCATCCACAAATCCACACTCAACGACATTATACCCCACACTACACACTACCTCCGACGACCGTACTAGTAAAAAGATGGATAAACATTCAGCAAAATCCGCTCCCAAGAGAATCCTCAGCAAGATATTCACAAACTCCAAGAAGAACAGTTCAGTCTCCCCAACAAACGAATGGACTCCAGAATGGATGGCCACTATCTCCACCTCTAATGACGATAGCAATTGGTACTCGACTGCGATGACCCACGCTACGCTTGCCATCATGTCCACAAACGAACAAGAAGGCACCAGACATGTCAAGGATCGACATGACGAAGAAAATGACTCTAAACCTTCCATGCCTAGACGATACAGTTTTTCGACTGTTCACGATAACGGGAAACAAAGATTAGTCGCCGCAAAGAGAGCAGAGTACCAGGCTAAAATGCAGGCCTTTGACGAGCTCATACAGCGAAGACGGGGCAGTACTCTGCGGATGGCTCTTGCACCAGACGTTACTTGCTGATTAATAATAGTGATCTGGTTGATCAAAGAGAGTTGGAAGCTGCAGACTGATGAAAGTGGGTTCTCTAATAGACACGATTCTTCTTTTTCGGGTTCGGTCACATCAAATTGAAATCAATCATACGAGTGGGATGGGAAAGGAGCATAGGAGAAGTCAAAGATTGATTGTGCGGTTGTTTGTTACAAGCGACCGCCAATCGGTTCCTTTCCATTGGTTTTTTTTTTTCTTTAACATTTAATTTTCTTGAGAGATTGTTTATGGTTCATATCTATGGTTATATCTAATAAGCGGTTTGGCCCCTTGCTATATGCTACAAAAACAAAAACAAAAACAACACTATGCGGAATCGGTTGTATTCCTCTATTATTTAAACAAGTGGTCTTCCGTTCAAGGGGAATTCAGCGTTTTCTCCTTGTTACTTACTCACTTTACACACACTCTTATATTTACGAATTATTTGTCTATGACTATTTGATTTATGCTGTGGGAGATTTTATACGACGTTTACAAAGTCCGATTGGAACCTATGACTCACCCAAATATTATTTTTTTTTTCCTTTGCAAACCTCAAACTTTACTTTTTTATTTTATTTTAACATTATTGTTTCTTTTTGTTTCTTTTTCTTTTAATCGATCATTTTCCTCGAGCAGTCTTTAGTTACCTTATTTTATTCTTTATTACATAATCTACCGTAATCTTTAAACCTCTTTATAAAAACGCAATAAAAGCAAGTCTTGCGAGACTATGATAACGAACGAATTTGTCTTTATTATCTGATGAGCATATGCGGGTGGTTGAGTGAACTGATTCGACTGATTGGGCATAGAATTATGCGCATAATCGACTATTGTAGACGATCCTTAATATAATATAGCCGCTACATTACATCATTTGTATAACACCAATTTCATAACACTGGAACAAACATGTAAAATAGTTTCGGACTATTCAAATCTAGTGCTGAATAGACACGATATTGTTAGTATATGGACTAATACGAGGTTTGATATAAATAATTTGGCCACAAGACCAATTAGAATCAATTTATTGTTGGGGAAAGAGAAAGATAGAATATCCAAACTGGGAAGGACATAAATCGCGTACCACCGTTCCTCGCAAAAACAGCCCATACAAACAAACCGAGTTTGTTCACAGTCACAGGTTCTTCTTTTGGACCAATTGACGTTGTGAGAGATTGGTATAATAAAAAACGATGCAATTTATTATTCACACTAAAAGTGGCAGTTACAATATTAGAAAATCACTTGTTACACGATGACATCATCAAAAACTTTTTTCATCTAACGGATAGAATAAGAATAACCCACCAATCCTAAATCCTCCGTGCACATGCAGATGGCTCATGGCTCCCATTATCGTCATTATCGTAACGTTTGGCTCGGCTCTTTATCAATAGGACGGGGATTCGCTCAATGATTCGGTAATGTCGCTACTGATAAGTATAGAAATAGACGAACGTGCAAATGAAACGGGCAAACAGGCGTAGCAAATGGGAGGGATGGTGAAGAGATCTTGGCATTGAGTGTTTGGTCAAGTCTGTTCGGGATAGACGCAACCAATTGGAGAAATTACACTTCATGTTTGTAACATGGCGTACATACATACACGTTGATGTTTACAGTGTCAAGTGCCTGACGTAACATGCCAAGAGTTTGCGCGCGTAATATACTCCTCAATGTGCAACTACAATGATATGTAAAAAAGAAGGAACAACATACTAGCGGCGAATCATTTTCATATATGGGTTGTAGATATCGAAAATACCCCCTGAACATCAAGTATATTTCAAGTCTCTTCATTCTCCATAGGTGGATCTCAATTACCAGTGACAAGCCAACGTATTTGGCAGTAAATACCAAAAACCTTATCCAATGCCATTGAATTCGGCGTTCTCTGCTAGGCTTAAAAAAGACTTATTAAATTAACAATCAATGCCAAGAAAATAAATAATATGCTTGTTACGACTCGTCCTTGGTGCATAGATGCACATACATTGTATCCAATAAACAAGCATATTATCTTTGTGGGAAAACCCGAACGGCCAAACATTCAGTCATGAGTTTGTGAGAATGCTCCTCTATTACTCGCACAGCGACAGTTAACGCGAACTAGTGAGGAAACAAGTGTTTCTCGATGCTTATCGGACAAGCGTCTAAATTGGTTACTATTGAGTGTCGGGTTTGGTGCTATAAATGGAAATAATTTCTATTTATATCAAGAGAGATAAGGTGCTTCTGTGGCGGACTCTTCGAACAAGAAGAAAAAGAGGATAAAAAAAGTTTTCTGAATTATATTGCATTTTTGACACATTTGCTGCCCTAAAATGTTGCTGATTTTACCGGATGGCTGATTAATATGCCTAATTAAAGTAGTGCTCACAAACGAATTTATACCATTGCCCTCGAATGGAACGAAGATGCCGTTAATTAGCTCATATGTGATAATCGATTACCCTCTACCGACGTTTTTGTACCGAAAAGTCGTTATTACGCATATGTTTATTCTGATTATCTGATTACCATGGGTTTTATTTATCTTTTACAACTCGGGCGAATCCGCAAACTTAGTCCATTCACGTGTCTTATAATTTTGGGTTAATTGATAAACACTTACATCACCATATCAATCAATGGCATGGCTTTAAGTTAAAAGAGCACACCGTTTGTAAACAGAAAAGATATGATCTCCGATCGGAGGTAAATTTGAAATGCGGAGAATTTTCCATTGATATTTGTGGAATCACACAAAGTGAATGAGTTACCTAATAAATGATTACCACTGTTGTGACGACCATATATGGCAACTAAAATCAGAGCGTCTTGTTACAACCATGTAACCAAAAATCATTAACAGATAGGGTTATATTACTTGTCAGTCATTTCATCACAATTATCCCTGTTCATTATGTTCATCTTCATATCTCCACGTCTATACTATCCCTGAAAATGCCGTCATAAATACAATTCTAGTTGGTATTGTGCAGTTCCGAGCCATCATTCTTATCTGATTGATTGGCCATGGATTTTACTTGTGGGCCATAGTAATAGCCAGTCAACAATTGTTTGATAGTACAAGACAACGAAATCAACTAACGTGCGTGCATCTTTCTTGGTAATTGAATTAGAATAGACTAATTTGTTTAATCATAGTGTAGATGTTTGTACACACGGAAGATCCGTTTTTGGTGAAATTGATTATTTTCGTAACAAATTCTACGATCAGCAATAAAACCTATTATTACTAATGCATAGGAATAGTAAGTAGTATGCATTGGCAGCAAGGGTAGACCAGCTTGTCTAACTGCGACTTCAGTTGTCAACAGCAGCACGTCCGTCCGCATAATGGCATGCAAGCAACTCACAATGACTAAGCAAACTTCATTCAATGTAGTCCCCCCCCGTCACTGGTCCATCTTGCATCATTGAAATAATTTCTATTTTCCCTCAATTGCATGAGCCCACATCAGTTAAATAATAATGACCGAAAATACAGCGCATCTAATTTAACCGGCAATTGTAAATAAATGAAAAACCAAAACAGATATGCAATGAATAAATAGTACGAGTGTATAAATTGAGGAAAAGACGGTACATATCGACGCACATTTCATTCGAATGACATCGCTTTGGCTCGTACTCTTGCACAAACCTAAAATTCCCGTTTGTCCAATCAATCCATTGGTGATACAACTCATTTAAGGTGATGTGCATACAAAAGGGAAATGGTAAAGAAATTGGGGGGACGGAGGAGGGGGGAGAATTGTTACAGAGAAGAGGGTTATTGAATAGAAAAGGACATATTGTAATTTAACGAAAAGTGTACAATTCTGAGCCGTACGTCAATTAAAATGTAGTCTCAGTGTCATTCCTATTTCATAATTGATAAAAATGGACAATGTAATGCATCAATATTATATGTACGTGACCACCTGATATTCGTGGTCCACTCATAATCCCTGTGATTGTGATATTTCCGATAACGATTGTTATTGTGATGGCGGATTTTCCTTTCTACCTTTGTTATGTAGTACTGAATAACCTTCGGTGGGCTGTGCTAAAAACGCACATGTAAGGTATAAAGATTCGGGATGCAAAAAAGTACTGTGATAGTCATCTGATATGTGACATAGCTTAATCGTTTTCGCCAACCGATTATAAGTTATTATAGAAAAAAAAACCGATTAGTAATTGAAGGCCCCATTGTTTAGTTATTTGTGACGTCCAAAGTATTAATAATTCTCGAATTTGGTATCGATGGCGCAATCGAATTTACACAATGAGAAAAAGGTATTGTCAATTCCTTTGTTAAAGCTAATCGAGTTAGCCCAACTAGTCATTGATGTATCTGCATCTACGAATGTATAATGAAGGCATTTCTATTGATAGTTTGTCGTTTGCTAACAATAGAGTGTCCAGACTTTGAGCTGGGCCAAATATTTAGACAAGCATGTTTGGGTCATGATAAAATTGGGTCACGGCTGCCCCAAAAGCTCACATTTCGGCCGTAATAAAGGGCAAGGTGATACTGTTTCAGCTGCGTGGTTTTTTTTTTCTTCATGTGTATTGTTTATGTTTTGTGGGTGTATTTTGTTGGGTATTGTTGCAAGTCACGACTTGCTTATGATTGGTTGATATACCTGCACAAAGAGTCATGAAGAATTGGCTGTTATATCGTATAAAGGCGCTTATCCACAAAACATACACAAATTGTACAACCCAATTTTGCTTAAACATTGAGTTATAATCACTATTATAACTGTCTTTGGCCTTTGCTTTTAACAAATATGTCATGGCGCGTCCATGATATGGCATCTGAACCGAGTTAAATTTTATTGAAAAAAAAAAAAAAAAAGTAAAAGTGTCTTGGAAAAATTTTCACTATATTTGGTCATAATTTATGTTAAGCCTGATGTTATCACAGTTAATAGTTATCACAGTATATTAATTCCACATCTACTTACAATAACAAGATACTAGTC